TTTTAACTGAGAGTGATGATATATCGAGATGTATTATTTCTCATTATCAGATGTATGACTTATATAATAGAAAGAAGAATTTGAAATCGAATGTGAATATGTTAAAATTAGACATACAGTACATATGAGTGTTAGATATGTGATTATTATACTTATTATAATTTTTGTAATGATTAATTTTAAAAAGATCAATTAAAAATTTCTTATAAATAAAGTTATATTTCTACAAGATATCGAATTTTATATTATTCGTTAAAATGGAAAGAATGAAATTATTGAGTATTTATTTTCAGAAAAGGAGATTTGATGAAATTGATATTTGTTAGATTGCAATGTCAATTCGCAGATTGGGTATCACATGGAATGTTGAGTTTGTAATCTTGGAGGAAATCTTTGCGAGTGAAGATGGGATTCATTATTTTGAAAATTTTGATATATCTGCTCGGGATGATAAACAAAAGGATGAATTGTTGAAATTGGTGAATGAAAAGTTGGATGCGATACGTAATTATGAGGTGAATGATTTGATTGAATATCACAAATCGTTGAATCAAGATCACATAGAATTTAATTATCTGATTGAAAAAATGGATGGCTTGATTCATAATGGAGTTGGGATTGATATTCACTTATTGATAGGTGAACGGGATAAAATAATCGAATTAATTGATAAATTTATTAAATGTTTGAGATGTAGAAAGATGTATTACGGGTTGCATGAAGATCTTTACCCTGAGAATGAGGATTTTTGAGATCACATGAATAAACGATTTCTCTGAATATCATTTTTTAAATAAACTTATCTTTGATAATATCATCTGTGATTGAATAATTATATCACATGTGGCCAAAATGCCCACACGTGATATTTAAATAAATATTAGTTCGATTTAAAAATTACCAGACATGGTTAGTTTTAATTCACAGATGTCGAATGTGGTTGGACACTTGAGATTCAAGATTACCAAACATGGTTGAACACTTGAGATTCAAGATTACCAAACATGGTTGGACGCTTGAGATTCAAGATTACCAAACATGGTTAGGTACTTGAGATTCAAGACAAATATAATTAGTATTGAAATTATTTAACATGGTTATGTAAATTATATTTGTAAGTGTTTTATATGATATTAATTATACTTTATCATTCGTGTGTACGATATTAATTAAACCATCGGATTCATGTAGTAAGATGAGAGTTTGAAATTCTATAAAAGGACATCCAATTTGAATGTTTGAAGAATCAATTCTTAGGATATAAATTAAGGTATGAGATGAATAATATTAAATTTTGAATAAAATCAAAAACGTAGAATTGGATTTTAATAATTTGTAATTTTAGGATGGATAAATTCAATGAATTGAAAGATTATTCATCGCAGATGATAAGTAATCTTCAGAAAATTGAAAAAGATTTGAGGGTGCTTCGTTCTAGTGAGGAGAGATCTGTTGCAATGTTATCTGCATACCTTCTTGTCGCTAATTCGAGCTATGGTTCCGTGGAGCAAGTTAACCAAGAGATTAATCGAATTAATAAAGATCTTGTTAGATTGGAATGTGATAAATCATTAATTGAAGGTGACATTAAGTATATTTCGATGTGCATTTTGATAGATGGCACAAAGAATATGTGGCTGAATCTCGTGGATGAAAGGGATAAATCTTCGTTTTATCAAGTTCCGAGTGGTCAACTGAAAATGAAATCAGGTCAACGTGAGAGTTTTGAGGAGTGTGCGATTCGTGAGGTGAGAGAGCAAACGGGAATTGTGATTCTTCCTAAGAATCTTAAAAAGGTCATGGAGCATCAATATGTAATGGTCGGTGGATTGCATGTCTGTAATATTTTTTTGACATGTGTTTATGATATCATACCAGTTTATGAGAGTTTAGGGGATGATATGTGGAAGAAGTTTGGTTATAAGGAGCTTGATGGGCTTGATTACCCATTAATATATTCCCTGAGAGCGGTATATAATGATATTAAATATAATATTCATAGTCTTAGGATAAATAATAGAAGTAGTATGAAGATGAAAATTATGAATGATGATAGGGATGGCATCAATGATAAAAAGAGAGCACATAGTGAATCTGACGATGATGAGTTATCTGATGACTCGAAGAGAGTCAAGTTGAAATAAATTGTATTAAATAATATTTGAAAGAAAATAAAGTGAACCTCACTCAGTGCTATTGCACCGGGTTGAGGAGTTATATGCGTAACTTTGTTATAATTTCATACTGTTCAATGTTTGAAGAATGTGTCAAGTTGATTAATTTGACATATCAATTTATTTTACTTATTATATTTAGTATCGTGGGACTCTTGATTTTCAAGATGAAAGAGTTTAACATTGTTGAGTTACTCGGTGCTAGTATACCCATTATTCGTCTGAAGGAAACCAAGTTGATCATTGTGACAGGAGCTATCGCGGTGGGAAAGACAACTTTCACGCGAGATCTACTTGACCATCTCATCAACCAAGGATACCATGCGACGTTACGTGTTGAGGTGGCACGAACACTGGATAATGAATTACGATTATATCAGGGTGATTCAGAAAAATATGCATTCTTCTTTCAGTATGCGATGATTCAAGCATATTATAAGGAAATGGAAGAGATCAAGAAATTGAAAAATTATGATTATATTATTCTTGATAGAACTTATCTTGATACGATTCCATTTACGAATGTGATAATTCCAGATGAAGATGGAGAAGTCTTGGTAATGCTTGAAAATGAATTGGGTAAAATTAATTTTCCATTTGATATCGCAAAGGTGATATATCTGAAGCCATCTTGTGATAAGATGTTAGAGCGTTACAAGATTCGTGAACTTGACAAGTATATGAAGGGGGATAGTGTGGATGTGGGTTATGATGATAATTATCTTATCGCAATTTATGATCAATATGACTTGTGTATGGAGAACATGTATTTGAGTTATATGAAAGTTGTAAATGATGATGAAGGATATGATGCAATTTTAAATCAAATTGTTATTTAATCTTTGAATTATTGATTATATATTTGAAATAAAAATATCTCATCCGGTGATACATTCAGTAGGGTGAGAAAAAAAATGCATAAATATAGAAATGATAACACGTGAAAACTTATTGATTGGTGATTGTGATTATGATGGTGTTCAATTTCATTTCCTTCCTATTGATGTTGATGAATCAACATTATATGAAACTGGTGATTATGTGTTGAGGTTACATGGAATTTTGACAAATGGTTGTAGGATGCGAATTGATGTGTGTGGAATTAAACCATTTTTCGATATCCTGATAGATGGATTGAATGTAGATGAGATATTATCAGAGATTGAATGCGAATCACATGAGATTATTCAAGCAAAACTGATTAATTTGTTTTGTGAGAACATCAAAGAATTTGTTCGTTTTTATTTTAAGAATAGTGGAATTCGATCGAAACAATTGAAAATGGTGAAGGATCGATATGTGACATATTCTAATGATCTTACGTTTCACTATCGCAAGGTGTTGAGAGAAGGTAAGATTGATGTGACGCGATGGAAAATGATTGAGTCAAGTGAATTGGTGTATGGTAATGATCAATATCGAAAGGTGTTAAAGGTTCATCGTGATCATATAATCAATGGTCAGAATCCCCTGAAGAGGAATCGGATTATGATTCTCTGTTGGGATATCGAGACTTATAGTTCACGTGAGGGTGGTGAGGTTCCAAAACCAGAGTATGATAAAGATGAGGTATTCATGATATGTATGACGGTACATTGGTATGATGAGAATGAACCAATTCGAAAGATTTGCTTATGCACTCAGGATTTGAATGAATGTGAGGATTGGATATTTAAGAGGTCGTATTCTCAAGAACAGATGATAATGGATTTTGCATATTGCGTAAAGTTAATTAAATTAATCGATGATTAGGTTTAATGATGGTGGATATGATTGGTCATTTGTACTCAAGAAAGCTGAGCGGTTAAATATACTGAGAGATTTTGTGAGTATGATGAGTGGAATGAAATTTAAAGGAAGTTCGATCAGTGATGCTGGTTATAATATTTATGAGAATAATATTAAGATTACAGCTCAAGATAATGTCAGAGTAATGTATTTTCATAAATTGGGAACGTTGATGATAGATGTGATGGTATCATTTCGAAAGATGTATCCAAACTCGGAGAGAAATTCACTCTCTCATTTTTTGAAGATGATAAATCTCAAAGGAAAGATGGATTTATCTCATTTAGTTTTGAGAAAATATTATCGAGATTGTAAGGATGGAAATGTGTCAGCTGAGGAATCAAAAGAGAATATGAGTGAAATTGCACAGTATTGTATGATGGATGCAAGGCATTGTCAGGAATTGATGTTAAAGATAAATGTGATTGATTCATATCGGAAGATGTCGGGTATATCTTATGTATCGATTTTTGATTCGTATTGCTATGCAGGAGGGATCAAGGTGTGTAATTTGCTTGGTACGATGGCCTGTGATATGAATATCTTGATCAATATAATTCGAAATGATAATGTAAAGGAGGGGAAATACCCCGGAGCATATGTATATGAACCAATAAAAGGTTTGAATAATCGAAGACCAGTTACTGGATTAGATTTTTCTTTATTATATCCAAGTCTCATGATGACATACAATTTATCCCCCGAGATGATGATCGTGAATCAATTGGAACGTGATCGGTATTATGGAATGGGTTATCAATTTCATGAGATTGAATTTATGTTCAATGAG